TTATCCATATTTACGGATAGCAAGTAATAATTAATTGGAATTTATACATACACTGATATGTATGAATTCAATTAAGTTAATAATAAACGATTGGCACTAAATATAGTAATTACAACTACACCAATCTCAATAAATTTTAAAGCTACCCCAAATTAAAAAAAAAATGATCGAATTTGATGCAATAGTTCACGAGATAAGCCTGATTTTTGCGTAGCGCATCGATTTGAACGCGGACTTTCAGTATTTCCAAGCGCGCGAGGGAGGCCCCCCACCACCGCCGCCGGCCTTTGGCTTTTCTCGTGCTGGAAATGAAACGTCATTTTAATTATTAAAGAGCCAAAATATGTAAAGCCTTGTATCGTAATGAGAAAATATAACTTAATAACGATCGAATGCCCTTGGACCGATTTGTTAATTTTCATTATTACAACAATGGCGATTAAAAAAAAAAAAAAATATCTCGGTTCCAATTGGTCGAAAAACAATTTTTTTTTTTCAAAATATGCACCTTGATCTCAGATATGTGAATTTCTAAAAAAGAAATCTCTATAATGCACAGGGAAGCCGCAATTCTAATTGTTTATAAAAGAAAAAAGGCGCACTTTGTTAAAATCAAAATTTAGGGGTTGCAAATTAATTTTTTGATTCGTTCCCAATCATTTATTAAAATTGACGTTTTGACAAAGAGTCTATCAATAGGAATACTAGAGTTTGAGATGTTTGGAAAGAAGTTAAGGCGTTTAAAAACGGACTTAATAGACCAACCTCTTTAGACGGCAATAAGGCAGTCGTCAAAAATGCTCAAGTATGCCTAGGCGAACTTTGCACCCCTAAAGATAATAAGCTATGTCCTCATGAGGATATATCGGCTTTTATTAATTAGCATTTCACAAACCATATAGATTCTGATAAGATCCACTTTATGGATCTCCCTTTTACATATGAGGAATTAGACACTGCCCTCCACTCGGTTAATATGAAATCATCTCCTGGAGCTGACAAAATCAGCTATGAATTATTAAATGTTTTACCGGAATTTTACAAAAGAATTTTACTTGACTTGTTTAACGACTTTTACGATCAGGGTACTTTTCCCGAAACTTGATCGAAATACCTAATAACTTTTCTTCCAAAAAGTAATAGCGATAAAGTTTGTCCAGTCTCGATGGTATTCTGTATTCTCAAAACTTTTGAACGTATGGTTAATAACCGTCTAACGTTTTGATTAGAAAATAATAAAGTCCTTTCCCCCTCGAAATTTGGTTTTCGCAAAGGTAGATCCTGCGCGGATAATGTTTCAATTCTGACAACAGGCATTCACGAATCCTTTTTTTTTTAAAGTTCAACAGCCTTCTTCATCGATATCAAGGGAGCATTCAATGAAGTAATTCCGGATATTCTAATAGCTGATTTAATAAAATTAGGATTACCCAAAAAATTTATAATTTTTATAAAATTTTTAATATTTGAAAGAATCCTTATCCCACTAAATACTGATGATATTTTAACATATTCAGTCAATAAAGGTCTCTCCCAAGGGAGTGTGCTCAGCCCAGTGCCATATGCTATTTACACCCGTTTTTTACAAACTTTGCTCAAGACTTTACCTTCATTTGATGTAGAAATCATAGAGTTCGCTGATGATGTGACTTTTTTTACTCAATGCGACAACCCTCATTAAGGAGTCGAAAAACTGAAGTTCGTATTAAATTCTCTTCTATCTGCTCTTAAAAATAGAGGACACGAACTGGCATTTCATGAATGCGAACTAATTATAGTTAATAAAAATAATATCGATATCAAAAACATTTCCCTAAAATTACAGAATGAAACTATTCTTCCAACCAAAGAAGTTAAGTTTTTAGGCATGATCCTAGATCAAAGTCTCAACTGGTCTAAACACATTTCTTACCTAGTCAGGAAAAGCATTTCATCTTCTAGAATTATTAGCTGTTTAAGGACTTGGTGGGATGCAGACCCAAGTACCTTAATTCTTTTATATCAGTCCTTAGTGAGGTCCAGACTTGAATATTGCGGATGTCTTATATCACCTTGCTCAAACTCACAATTTGACAAATTGCAAAAAGTACAAAATGCTACCTTAAGATTAACCTTAGGATACCAAAAGAGTAGCCCCCTTAACATAATAGAAGGTGAATCAAAAATTCCACACCTTTCTTACCGATTTCAAATTCTTGGTATTAAGTTCTTACTAAAATGCATGGCAATGAACGATAATGTTACTATTAAAAATATAGAAAAAATCTTAGAGCTCTCAGAAGATTTTCAATTCGATTTCAATTACAATAAATCAACCTTAGTTAAATGTTATGAAGACCTAAGATGGCACTCGAATCTGATTATTAAATCAGATATCTATTTTAAACTCTCTCAACCATGGGAATCTTCTTTTGAAGACTTCGATATCGATCTCGAATCGGGTAAAAATATTCTAAAGACCTCTGAACACCTTAGTAATTTTGAAGAAAATTTCAAAACTGAACAGGATATAACTGATATCTATACGAATGGCTCAAAAATTACTATCGACAACAAGTGCTCTGTTGGCCTAGCTGCATGGAGTTCGTCACTACAATTCAAATTTTCTTTTAAAATTCCAGAATTAGCCTCAATTTTTTCCGCTGAAACCCTGGCCCTCTCCATTTGTTTAGATAAAATAATTTTCGACACAAATAATAACAATTTTAGAATTTTTTCTGATAATCAAAGTGCATTGAAAGCAATAGACAATAAATATAATCCAGGCTCTTCATCTTCATTCATATTTCAAATTAGAACTAAGCTTCTCGAATGTAGAAAATTGCATAAAAAAGTGAAGTTAATATGGGTACCTTCTCATAAAGGTATTCCAGGTAATGAATCAGCGGATTCCGAAGCCAAAGCAGCCGCCGAAAAGGGCACTCTTCTCGACGTTGAATTACCATATTATACAGATTTGATTAGTAAATTTAAATCCGAATGTGTTCAAGGAAGTACTAATCGTTTACTTTTATCTAGCTTAAACAAAAGAGTATTTTATTTCAACAATTAATATTTAGCATCGAATAAACCATGGTTTTCAAAATTCTCTCATCTACCTAGAATATCAATAACCACAATCAACCGTATTAGAAGTGGCCACATGCCACTTAACTATTACTCGTTTAGATTCAACATAGTAAAATCTGATATGCGCCGTTGTGGCAAAGAAAAACAAGACATAGAACATATTTTTTGACGTTGTGAATTACTTCATGATCAAAGAATTAAAATGCTTAAGAAAATTAAAAAATACACTAAAATCGTACCAACGTCGGTGGTACCGTTACTCATAAAGTTAAATGTAGATATTATAGATTCCATATCAGATTTTATCCTAGAGATAGGAATAAATATATGATCAACGATTTCCTAGTTCAATTTCTCGATCAGATAATATATATTTTGCATTTCACCTAATATGTATGATCTCTCTAACTTTAATATGTAAGCTAATTATAATCGGAACAAACGAATAAACAATTTTATACTATTTGTTACTTTTGGATACTCCAAATATATTTCAAATGTAAGCGTTATTTAATTATATGCGAAAAGTTTATTGTTGCTTAGCTCGTCAGAACAACTGATATATTAAGATGTTTTATGTACTTGAAAATCTGTAATGTTTGAAATATGTAGTTCAACGCGCTCTCACTGGCGCCACTGTGGTAGTGGTGTGGCTCTATACTGTAAAAGTTTATGTCAATAAAAATACTAATATATATATATAGATGTTTTTGGCAAGCAATACTACTAACTAGATATCGTACAAAGTTTCAGCTCGATTCATAAGTCGTTTTGTTGTGAGCGTTGGTTGAACATAAAGTTATTAGTTTATTTGAAAAATGGAAAAACAGAGTTTCGAGCAGTGATAAAACATTTTCATTTGAAAGGCCTTATACCAAAAGAAATCACAGTTGAGTTGAACGTCATTCATGGCAAGTCTGCCCCTGTGTTTAAGAATGTTTATAACTGGGTAAATGAATTTAAACGCGGCCGTACAACAACAAAGTGACAGAAGATTAAAATTGCGAGAATTAGTTGAGGCCACAGGGGTATCAAAGGGTACAATCATTTCAATTTTGCATGAAAAATTGGGGATGAAAAAAATATCAACAAGATGGGTGCCGCGTTTGCTCACTGTTGAAAACAAACGAACCCGCGTGGTCACCTCTGAGGCTCTTTTGGCACGCATACGTCGTAAACCGGAAGACTTTTGGCGTCGACTCGTAACTGTAGACGAAATATGGGTACACCGCTACACTCCTGAAACCAAAGAACAGTCCAAACAATGGATTACCGCAGGAGAACCAGCCCCAAAGAAGACAAAGACAGTAAAGTCACCTGGCAAGTTTATGGCCACGGTTTTCTGGGATGCGTATGGAATCATCTACATCAACTACTTAAAAAAGGGCCAGACGATCACTGGACAATATTATGCGTCATTATTAGGTGAACTGAAAGAAAAAATCAGAGAAAAACGTCCTCACTTGAACAAAAAAAAATGCCTCTTTCTTCAAGACAAGGCTCGAGTTCACACGTGTGTAGTTTCGATGGCAAAAATTAACGATGTAAAGTTCGAATTAATTGACCATCCACCATATTCGCCTGATTTTGCTTCCAGTGACTTTTTCTTATTTCTTAACCTCAAAAAATGGCTTGCCGGACAACGATTCACGTCGAATGAAGAAGTCATCGCCAAAACAAATGCCTATTTTGAGGGTTTTCAGAAATCATATTTTTCTGCTGGCTTAAAAAAACTGGAAGGCCGTTTAATAAAACGTATCGACCTTCAAAGAGATTATGTTGAAAAATAAAAAACAATTAAATAAGCAAAACTTTTTTTTCCTTCTTTTTGTAAAGACTTATTGCCCCACCCCACCCTCCCTCGTACTACAGTAAAGTATACAGGCCAAGGATTAATAAAGCAATAAAGAAAAGTCGCTGAATAAAGGTTAAATATTGAGTGGGAAGATATAAGTAATATAATATAATATAATATAATATCTATAAGTATTATAGATATTCGAAATTATAGCATGACACTAATTATAGTCGTAACAACAAAGTACGTACATATATTACTTAAAAAATAATTTTCTATAATTGGTATATGTATCTGTCCAGCAAAAATGTTGAACGAAAGTAATAATTATAAAATTGTCTAAGAAAAGTCATTATGAACTAGAAAAAAAGTGAAGTATAAAAGTTGCAATAAAATCCACCTCCAAGCAGTCACCTATTTATTACAATCTAGTTTATTTGCAATATATTATTTAAATTAAAGTTTTAAGGCATTGATAAGAAATATTCAAATAGTACATGATTGTTAATCGGCAAACCATGTTACATTTTGAATAAACTCTCTATAGTAATTGACACTTAAATGAACATTAAATTTATAGTTATTTAAAAACTCGTCAGAGAAATTACCCCATGCTCTATTCGGACATATATCACCTGTGATTCCGATAAGGTGATTGTTTTTATCCAAAAGCGGTCCACCGGTATCACCCTAGAGTGCAGATGTTTATAGTGAAAATCATCATTTACTAGGTGTAAAATAAAATTTGTTCCTACGTACACTGTTTATGAGTATATATGACTCGGCGAATGTAGCTAGATAATTGTTGTTGATTGTAACTTTATCATTCGTTACCAATTTGAATTGATGTTTCCTCTGCTCAGGACTTAAAACTGTTACTTCGCCCTTGAGTAAGATAGACGAGGCTGGTAAAGTACTTGTGACATTCCAGCCAACTATCAATGCCTTCGTTCGATATAGCTGTTGGTCAACCAAATGCGAGAGGGAGACAGGCATCGTAGTTTTTTCACTGATTGTCGATAATAACTAGAAAGCATATTCTTCAATGTTTATATTCCACTATATCTTAGTTGTCATACTACATTACTTGACTAGTTCGGGCAAATAGATTCTCGTCTCCCGTTAGTTTTACGCTCGATCAAAGTGATGATGGAAAGCCAGACGAGTCGAGAATCTACTTCTCCGCAGATGTTATATGGTATATAGGTATCGTATCAAAACACCGTGTGGAAAGAGCCAATTGGAGCGCACGCTGTTCGCCGAGCTTGTGACAAACTCGTACTTTCCACAAGGCATGTTGAAATTTTTTACCTTGACGATTATCACATCGTTCACTAGATACGTTAGAGGTATTCCATTATTTTGAGCCCAGGAGTTATACGTCAACCATGAATAAATATCATAAAGATAACCTTGGCTTGCCCAATTTTTTCCGGCAACGACAACCCTGATTTCAGATAATATTTTGCCTTCAAAACATTCTGCAGCTGATATGACGTGTTTCCGCGTAATAAGTGATCCGGTACAAAAGTGTTGAAAAAGGCCAGACATAGATTTCTCTCTAAATGATACAACGAAAGGGAATTCATTAGGCTCCGCTACGACAACACGGTCACCCATTAGTGGAATAGCTTCAACAAAAGCGAATACTTGAACTGAAATCAAATTAATTTAACAAATTAAAATTTCTTGTATAATAAAGGTAGATGATTAATAGTCTAGTACCAGTTAAGAAAATACACGATGCAAACTGAATCATTGTGAACGTTATCAAATATTCAAACAGTGGTTTGTGATTCTACGTTAAAATCTAATAATTTTATAAAATTCTATGTCGGCTTTTGCGACACTATAACTACGCAAGGAATATATTTTTCGCTTTATAAAGCACAATGAATGTAAAGTATGATTGATCGTAACGTCGTTGATACTCCAATAAAAGTTACGACATAATAATAATATTATCATTTCTTTTACTATAACACTCATTTTCGCATACGCGTCTTTTTTATTGCAAGACAGTTGGTTTTCCAATGGTATTTCTTTCCAGAGACTTTTAATACATAATTGATGAACTATCTGAAATTATTTTGCAAGTTGAGATGAGCTACAGGCTATTCGTCATCCTCTGATGTTTTTCATATCCTTCATCATGTGTCTATTATGATCGGAATTTGCATGACTCTTAATTTTTATTTGTTTAAAAACTCCTCAGAAAACTTTCTAGAGTGTATTTTTGAATGATGTGTTTTTTATGACTCTCAAGAGAGAGTGCATTTTCTCCGACAATAGTTTAGCGCAATATTGTTTGAATCTATGAATTTATTTCTATTAGAATAAATAGGTAGTTTCGTTTATACTTAAGGGAACGATATGGGGAATATCAGTGAATTTTTAGAGTTTTTATAATTACAGTGTAATAACTATTCTAATACAAACGTGTGAGTGTGTGTACGTGTGAAGTCATAACTGTTTTTTCAATCATAAAATACTTGAGAGGAGTAGAATTTTAGGCCCCATAAAGTTAACATTTGTATAACATCGTAATTTTTGGAATACCGAGTGTGCCGTTTTTCAAAAACATTATTTTCGTATCTTTGCACGCGTTATTCTACACTTATGATTTGTTTTTAAAGGTTTATTAAATTAGGAAAATTGTTGAACTTTAGTTTATACTCAAAACGTGAGGAGGAAAATACAACTTTATATTTTTAAGTTTCTCTTACGAACCATATATTGTTATCTTTTCAAGTTAATGTTACGTTTTTTCGATAAAAATATTTGCAAAAGTTGGTGCTATAAACATGCTATTAGTGTTGAGTCATAATCCCTTCAGAAAAATCCATCCTATGTAATGACTTGGACATAGGTTTTAGTAAATAATTCCTATAAGAACTTTATTTTACTCAGTAATGGTCAGAATCGTTTTCCTAAATAACAATTTCATTTCTTTTAAAAACCTAGTAAAAACGTGTACAACGTGTAGAACTTTCATGCATCTATCAAAAGCAAATGAAAATCAATCAATCAGTCAATCAATCAGTCAAACCAATCAATTAAAAACAACTCATATTAGACTACTAGAATCTCCTGAAAGTAGAAAAATTATTTGCAGTAGAGGCCTACAATCGCTCGGTCAGTATGGCGACGGACTCGCACCCCGTAGGCCTGGGTTCGATTCCCAGTCCCTGCTGATTGATACGAGCACCACTGAAAAAAATTTCATGTGCTTTGTTCTCAAATACATTGCAAGCCTCCTTCGCTGATTAACTCTAATGGAGCATAAATAGAGCGACGTTAAACAAAATAAAAACAAAATAAAAAAAAATTATTTGCAGTAATATTTGCGTTGTAACGGAGTGATTGCTCCGTTTCAATCCGATTATTCGTTCGGCGCGCAAGCGTGTCGAGATGCGCGCGGTGATATCGAAATGTTCAAATTTAATAGTTGGAGAGCAGGAGGGGACGGGAGTCAGTGAACCAACTTGCTACTAGTTAGAAATAACAACAGTAAAAATATGATTTGATTCGCATGCGAGTTAGTTTATTTGCCTATTCACTACAATATACTTGTCCCGCGTGTTTATGTTTACGAAGAGCGTCAATAACATGCAGTGTCGGAGCGGCTGTAGCTCTTTGTTCGCGAGTCTATGCATGCACGCTACCGATTTTCATAGAGTACGAGGGATTAATAATTCACTTTCAGGGAGGGATTAATGATTCACAGTCATACAAAAAGTCGCGATATTAAGCTGGCCAGCTACCTTATTAATGGTCGTATGATTAGCGAGAGAAGAGAAGGTTCGTTGCGGTCCCTTGTCGGAAGCAGTTCGCTCGCGGTTTCGCCCTCGATGGCGAAACGCAGCACTCCCACGCACACTCACACACAATAGTAAAGGCACGACAAAAAACACGGCTTTAGTCGATGCCCCTCTCGTACAACTGGCTCACTCCAGCACTTGGAAACTTTTTGCGGCAAAAACTGCTTTTTCTCAGCAACGGCTGGACACTCCTGTGGCTAGTTGCTTAGATTACTAATCCCTGACTGGTTCATTTATATTCGCGCGCGTTTCGTCCCGTCTCGTACCGAGTTCCCTTATTCCGTTTTCCCCAACCAGTAGGTACTGCCCTCGCAGGCAGCCGCTTGGTTGAGGCGATAGCGCTAATAAGACGTTTACCGTCACAACGTATAATAATCAGCGTTTAATCCTTGTTAAGAGCAGACGAGCTTACATTACACTGCTGATGAAAGATTTTATCTGGACAAAGTGCCATCACGCCAGCTGATATGGAAATACAACATGAACCTCAGTACCAATATATCATATAGTGAACTAAAGTATTTTTACGTTTTATATGTAGATGCAGTAATGGTGGTAAATTGTGCTTAAGTTCATCATTTTAATAAATATGAAAATCCAATAAAAAAACAAAAAATAAAATAAAAAATAAGCAAAAATAAAAAGATTATAATTTATTTAAAAAAAATTTGATTTAATAAAATAAATAGACTTGCATACTTTTTAATGATTTGTTGGTTAGAAAAAAGGGTTAATAGAAGTTTTTACTCTCAGAAAAAGATAAAATATTGCTATGTAAAGATAAAATATTGCTTATGATATTATTTTACTAGAGTATTAAAATCGGCAAAGATGGCTCGAGTGCAGCAAGACGACATGATAATGAAAGAAAAACTCTTGAAAGGAAACACTAGATCGTCTATAGGTGATGTAGTTCGTATCCTTAACAATGATCGACAAGTAACAGCTGGTTTGGTACAGATGGGTGTTCCCATCAAAGGAACAAAATCATCTAGCTAAAAACCGAAATACCCAGAAGCTCTTGCTAATCCAAATCTTATTGAGAGGTGGAACAGAAAATCTGCCATGGACGTGAAAGTAGGCAAAAAAAAGAAGGAAAAGAAAAGTCCTTTAGAAGTATCAACAATTTGCCGTCTACTACCTGAAAAATTAGAAAATAATATAGAAGAAGGATTTTCAAATGAAATGAATGAAAATATAAATTTAACAGTGTGTAAACAAACGAACAATGGACTGATGGAAGGAACTACAAAAATAAAAAATAAGTGTATAGCAAATACTTTGACATCTACAATTAATAAAAGAAAAAGAAAAGAAAATCATGTTATCCAGATAAAAAAAAAGAGAACTATTGAAAAAGTAGAAATTGAAGAACGTCAATGCGCTGATACGAGTAGCATGATTGAACTGATAATGCCAAAATTAGGAATACGTAGTCCAGATGACTTGGGAAAAAAATTAATAGATGAAAGAGCAATCGTCCCCATCGATGACTGCATTGAACCAACGCCAGCAGCATCGTATGATGTTATAATTCAAGGTTCGATAGGTATCGAAGAAAATCAACAAAGCTCGGGGATGAAAGAAAATCATATAGAAGGACAACCAGAAATTTTAGACATATTTCAAAATAAAGTAATAAAATATATTAATTATTATTTCAATTCCCGGTCTTGCAATATCGCTGACAGTAAATACCAAAGCCAAAAAATTGTTAAATTGAAAGTATGCGAATTGAGAAATATGGAAAACATTTGCATATATTGTTTTTCAAAAATTAGATCTATGCCAATAAAATGTAAACGATGTAATCGTAAAAGTGATATACGATGCTTGAAATACAATGACCTAAATAGTGACGAAGAAGAAGATATACCACTGAACGAGCATTCTAAAAAGAGAAAACTGGAATAAAAAGTAGATGAATGTCATAGATTCGTATGTAGACTTTGCCAACGATATAATAATACGATAGTATTGGATCGAGAGTAATTATATGAAAGTAGTTAAGGAATATGAATATCTTTTAGTACTTTTTCAAATACGAAGCTGCTAAAATATATTATCAGAAAGAAGAAGATAAGCCGATTCTAAATCTTATAAAACCAAAATTTAATAAACAAAAAATTTTCTTTTATAATTCACTATGATTACAGTAAAATAATGTCTAAATAGAGACACTGTAGTAAATATACTATTGTTATAAATCACTTTAGCTAAAATATTATTTTATACGGGAAATTACTCCGTTAAATATAAGCAAGATTTTTTTCCTTTTTCGAAAATACTTTAAATTACCACAAATCCTATGTGTTTAAATTTAAACGTTTTAAGTGTGTAATTGTGATGTCACCAATAAGAAATACATTGTCACTGAATTTAAACGTTTAGAATTATTTAAAATTGAGGATAATGTATTTCTTATGGGTGACGTCATATCAAACATTTAAATTTAAACACATTGGTTTACCGTTAATGAGAGTCCTCGGACCTCTCCGGAAAATTTGGTAGCGGTGACGGCGTGCGAGAATAGTCGAGAGGGCTCATCTTATCTGAACGCTTGACAGTTCAATATCACCAAGTAAACAGGCAAGTCGTTCTTCCTCTATTAAGGTTACACGCGTTTATGAACATAGACTTGTGATATTTTGTAACTTGCGAATTTGTTTACAGCGTTGCATCTAACTTTCTCATTTTCACGGCATTTTAGTGTTAATTCCTATTATTATTTACTATAATTTGCGGCTTTTTTCTCCAATATAACAAGTTTTATTATATCTGCGTATTAATCATTTGATTGCGTTCATCAATAATTTCAACGACTTGGTGTAATTAAAATAAAATCATTTCATAATTTTTTCTACTCAACCTTACCCTTTACATAACTACATTTCAATATCCACTGGAGAACCAATGTACCAACCGAGAGATATAACAAAGCTTATACTCGTAAATTAACTTCATTTATACCACCTATCAAAAAAACCTTGCGATAAATTAGCCAGGCCAAACAAGGAAAAATGTA